CAGTCATCCCACATGTGGCTAATATGACAAAACTTAAAGGTCTAATTTCACATGAAACTGTCATGGTGAATAATACTATTTATTCAATGAAAATAATTTTATAATGAGTTGAGAACAAATTGTATGTTTTGTTTCTTTTTTCTTGAGGATTTATTGAACCACCTGTATTTGTGCACAACGGATGAGGAAGTGCCGCAGTGCTTTTACCCTTTTAATATGAACAAATAAATCACTCTAGAATGAACATTTACATAAAATGAGTGTAAAAAAAGCACACGCCTCATTTGCTTGTACTTTAACCTTTATTAAGCAGAACTATTATTAAATGACCACAAAGTTGTTTAACTTTTATTTAAATGATCATTATTTTACTGATATTTACAAACAAATAAGAAATCTGTATTTTGGAAATAGGAAATATTAATCCGGCAACAATTTACAGGCATTTTAAAAGTTATTTCCATTATCTAGTTGCTTGGAAAATTGAACAACGACGTGATAAGTAGTATAAATTTGTAAAATAATCTGAAGTAAAATCAACTCTTAATGACAATTCTGAGTTAAAACCCCTAAATAGCTATTTGTAATTGTTTTCCACCTAAAAGAATAAAAGTTATTGTGTCAAAATGTAAAAGAATTTCCTCTAAAATATTGCAGTTAGACGAATCGCCCTCAGTGAGGGGAAGGGGTGTTTTGTGTAACTTGGTCACATGTCACCATAAACAAACTGCAGTTTGACACCTTCGCCTCAAGCGCAGACACGCTCCGGTCAGAAACTGTCCCCGCACCAGTTAGAGACGGGCAGCTATGGCGACTGTGGTGGACACGCAGGCTCAGTAAGTAAACACGCTACAGACAAAAGTTTACTTTTTAGCTGCTTGTTTAAGGATGAGACGCGATGCTAGCTTGCATCTCGTCATTTCATCTCCACCGATGGTTGCTGTAAATGTCACCAAAAACGTCATTTCCACTCGGTGTTTAAACTTTATTGCATTTATGTAAAGCAGCGCTTATTAATGCTCTGTCCGCACTTTATTTAGCTTTTTACTAAATAAAAATAATATTAAAAGTAGAAATAATTTTAGCTGGAGCAGGAAGTTGCTTAGCTTGTGCGCGTGCCTGAGGGAGAGGCGCTCGAGCGCTGTATCATTTGTGCCGATGATTTAATAATCTACTTTCATGTCACACGAAAACAAAATTAAAGTAACTCGGAAGAGTTTCCAGCAAACGTAGGTTAGTAAAACGTACTGGTGTTTTTACCAGAGTTGTAACTACTAAATGAACCTTATCTGATACTAAATCCAACGATTCTTATAAATACTTCATTATAAAATCCCATAAAAGAATAACATGTTACAATGCATTTCCTTTAACCTTTTTATTTAGTAGGTTTCAAAGGAAAAATGCTGGTAAAATCTAGATGAGTAATTAATGACTCATGTCTGAAACTAATCTCGGCACAGGTGTTATTTAAACACCTTAAACTTTTTCCAATTTAAATAGAAATATCGTTATGAAGAATATGTGAAAGTCTTTGTGATCAGCTGTGATTTTTTTTTTTTTTTTTTTTTTTTTTTTTTTTGCTGTTTTAGGGCATTTAGATCTTTCTAAAAAAAGTTTTCAGTTCAGAGCAGACCTGTTTTAGGATCTTTGCTTGCTTGTTCATGAGATGCCTGCAACATACAGTCCTGTGTAAATCAGTATGTTATGATCACTAACAGGAAGTTAGAAGACAACAAAAGAAAATCATAATATTTTTAAAAAGAAAAGACCCTTTTTTTTGCATCGACATTTAGAGTCAGCCCAAAGATAATTATTTTTGAAGAAATCCCTGTATTTCTTTACTTTTATTCATCAGTAAAAGTGTTTTTGCAAAGAAAACTATAGATTTTTATTCAGGGGAGACATGTTCTTTTTACTCAAGTGTGTTAAAAAGAAGCAAATATCTAAAACCCTTGGTAATGATTCATTTTACATTACAAATTAACGATATTTAGCTAATTCAGGTTTCACCCTTTTGCATCAGGTTTGTCTAAGTGGCTGTGTCTCCCATAGCAGTTATATTTTATATTACCGTTTTAATTAATTCCTTTTAGCTTTTCTAGAGTGCACAGAAATTTCTGGAGGACTTCATGCAAGTACTGTGTTTCTGAGATTGTATGAATTTAATTAAATATTTTGTGCTTTCAGGCCACAAGTAGCTCTATGTCTTCTTCCCCCATAAAATCCCGTCTCCACATGAGAAAGAAGCTCTTCAGGCTCTCACTGTCGGTAACCAAACTTCACATAATCATACATACAGATGATGCAGGTTCACCAACTGGCAGATCTCACTTTAACACATTAGACTTCAAATTTTAAATTAATCTTTTTATATTGTTTGAACAAGACAAATATCAATGGCATGATTTTCATCAGTATTTTGATGTACAGTATCTGTTTTTAATCAAAGGTCATCATAGTACCTCCAATGATTTAGTCCATTTCCTGTTGAAGAGAGCAATCTAGTGATTAGCACTAAATTACTGCATGAGCAAGAAAAATGAGGAATAAATCTGCTGAGAACTTACACCGTTTGATACCGTGATTCTGCTGTGAATCGTAACTTTTCAAGGGTGCCGTGAATCGCATCATGTGACATTTAAGGCTGGTTAACCACACTTCCAACGTGTTTGGAGGTAACGATAATATTCTCTTTGATGCTTTCCAGGTTCTGGAGGCTTGTATGAACAATTGTGGAAAGCGGTTCCGCAGCGAGGCAGCTAAGTTTCGCTTTCTGAATGAACTTATCAAAGTCTTAACGCCAAAGGTAACTCACAGGTGTCATAGACCCACTAACATAAATCAGTGCAGTTAATAAACGTATCTGAAAACCTATCTGGTCCAAGTTTAACACAGTTTTTTCACTTTGAAAAGTAGATAGTTGATGTTTAATTTGTCCTTACAAAATAAGCTTTTTTTATTACTCAATTCATTTGAGTTTAGTTCTTCAAAAAAAAAAAAAAAGCTCAATATGAAGATTTGTGTAACATACTTTATTCATCATAAAGATAGTTTACTGTTGTAGTAAAAACAACCAATGTGCTGAACAATATTCCAAAGCTACAGCAAATTATAAATGAAAACCTAAACTTCGAGGATGAACTGATTCTGGTTTTTAGAGCCGATACCGATTTGTGATTCTTGTGTAGTTCTGACCTGCCAAAACAGATTTATTTCAAAGAACTACTGCTTTAAATTTCTGATGATTTTGAAAATGATTTTTCTGGAAGTAAAACAGAGTCTGATTAGTAAGACTGTTGATCTGATGTCCATTTTCAATGTTGTGAGTGACCAGAAAAAATGAAAAAATATCCTTGTTGTGTAAATAGTTGTGAAAGAGACCTTAAAAGAAAAATACTTTCTTAACATAATTTCTTTTTCTATAAATCTTGGTATTTAAATTATGGTTCGGTTAAATAAGGAATCTAACTGTTTTGTAATTTTTATGCATTTCAGTCAGATCAGCATAGTTTAATTATCATCACCTACTGATTTCAGTCCTTTGGCGCGTGGAGTCCACAGAAAGTTAAAGACAGAGTGACGGAGGTCTTCTACGGCTGGACGCTCTGGCTTAAAGAGGAACCTAAGATTCAGGAAGCCTACAACATGCTGAAGAAACAAGGTGAGGGACAACACTAATCGTGATTTTTTTTCTGCAGGATTTTGCCAACCTGAGAAATACCACATTAAAAATTAATGTTATGTTTACCAAAACTAAGAAAATTTTCAAGAATAAAATCCTCTCATCTCTCTTGTGTTAGGCATCGTGAAGAAGGATCCCACACTTCCAGACACAGTTGTTATGGCTCCTCCGCCTCAAAGAACCACAGAGTCTGTTTTTTGATCAAGACGACAAGGCCAAGGTGACAGACCGGAGTAACTTTAAAACAACACACTCTATTTTATTTGTTCAACAATTCTGTGTTTAACTTAGATGTTGGTTAGACTACTGAGGAGTGGCCATCCTGAAGACCTGGAAACTGCCAACAGGCTCATTAAAAGCACCATCCAGGAGGCGAGGAGCACTGCAGCACTGCTGGTCCTCATATTTGATTTAATGGTGGTATGGATGAATCTTTGGATGAATCTTCGGTTGTGTCTTAGGAGCAGGAAAAGGCTGAGAAAGTGTCAAAGCGAGAGTCAACCCTGATGGAGGTTGAGAGCAGCACCAACCAGCTGAGAGAGCTTCTGTATCAGCACATCGATAATGAAACCTCGTTACAAACCAGTGATGACATGAAGGCATGTTGCGTTTCAAACTGATGTTTGTTAATAATATCCGACTGTTAACAACAAAAATTACTTACCAGAGTCTTACTCCACCCACACTTCTTTTTTGATATTTCATCACTGTTTTGGGTCTGTTACAGATCTTGGCTGAACATTTGTTATTTTATTGTAAATTTCAGATATGCCATGTATTTAAAATGTTCAAATAAGTGTAACCGTCAGTACTGTTATGACATATTTCCATTAACACTAACAAGCTTCCGGTTTCACTCTGTAACCAGTTGCCACCCTCAGTTAGGCTGTCCCCATATCTGCCGGTCTTTTAAGAGTTGCCTAAAACCCCACCTCCTCCGCTCGACGTTCCCCTGAACGTGTTTGAGGTCGGCCTTCTTTTTTGTTGATTTTATTTCCCTGTTTTCATTGGTGTTTTTATCCCTTGTTTTATCCATTTGTTTCTACTTTTAAATGTTTTACCTTTTTTGCACTATTTGAATTGCTTTTATTATCTATTTATTCATTGTGTTTCACATTTCTTATGTACTGTGTTCAGCGCCTAGGGCTTCCTGACAGGGTTTCGGAAGGCGCTTTATAAATAAAGCTCTGATTGATTGATTTGATTTACCTTGACATTCTGACCATAAACATTAAATTGCTCACTCTTGCAGTTTTAAAGAGTCTCTTATTTATTAATTCACAGCACTCTTAAGTAAACCTAAAACTTAAAATAAAAGGCCTAATATTCCTGGAACAAAACTTTATATACAGCAACTTTTATAACAAAACTGAAATATTCACTTCATCTATTAATATAAGATGATGCCAGTCCAACATTTTGGAATAAGAATTGAAAATAATTATATTTATCATCTTGCACACTCCCAGCTGTTTTGAATGGCAAACCTATGAACACACCGAATTTTAAGTTAACACCTGTGAAATCGAATGGCTTGTAGCCATTTTGCTAATGAATTGTCCTGCTTGCTCAGTCTCTTGTAGTTGTTGCGTCCTTTGGTAGGACACTTCACCCTTCCGGTCTGCTGGTACCCCTTATGAGGGGTGGGCGGGCCCCACATATTACATATTATGTTGTCAGGAATTAAGAGTTAGACTACATCGGGTATCGATAAACAAAAAGTCAATATCGAACACACTTTCTCAAAACTAATTACCAAATTATGGAGTTACACTACATATAAATACCTGCAAACTTGCATCCAACATGGACTTTCTGGGAGTTGGGTGTGTGTGTTTATTTTCAGATCTTACAGCGTATTTATATGTAGTGTAACTCCATAATTTGGTAATTAGTTTTGAGAAAGTGTGTTCGATATTGACTTTTTGTTTATCGATACCCGATGTAGTCTAACTCTTAATTCCTGACAACATAATATGTAATATGTGGGGCCCGCCCACCCCTCATAAGGGGTACCAGCAGACCGGAAGGGTGAAGTGTCCTACCAAAGGACGCAACAACTACAAGAGACTGAGCAAGCAGGACAATTCATTAGCAAAATGGCTACAAGCCATTCGATTTCACAGGTGTTAACTTAAAATTCGGTGTGTTCATAGGTTTGCCATTCAAAACAGCTGGGAGTGTGCAAGATGATAAATATAATTATTTTCAATTCTTATTCCAAAATGTTGGACTGGCATCATCTTATATTAATAGATGAAGTGAATATTTCAGTTTTGTTATAAAAGTTGCTGTATATAAAGTTTTGTTCCAGGAATATTAGGCCTTTTATTTTAAGTTTTAGGTTTACTTAAGAGTGCTGTGAATTAATAAATAAGAGACTCTTTAAAACTGCAAGAGTGAGCAATTTAATGTTTATGGTCAGAATGTCAAGGTAAATCAAATCAATCAATCAGAGCTTTATTTATAAAGCGCCTTCCGAAACCCTGTCAGGAAGCCCTAGGCGCTGAACACAGTACATAAGAAATGTGAAACACAATGAATAAATAGATAATAAAAGCAATTCAAATAGTGCAAAAAAGGTAAAACATTTAAAAGTAGAAACAAATGGATAAAACAAGGGATAAAAACACCAATGAAAACAGGGAAATAAAATCAACAAAAAAGAAGGCCGACCTCAAACACGTTCAGGGGAACGTCGAGCGGAGGAGGTGGGGTTTTAGGCAACTCTTAAAAGACCGGCAGATATGGGGACAGCCTAACTGAGGGTGGCAACTGGTTACAGAGTGAAACCGGAAGCTTGTTAGTGTTAATGGAAATATGTCATAACAGTACTGACGGTTACACTTATTTGAACATTTTAAATACATGGCATATCTGAAATTTACAATAAAATAACAAATGTTCAGCCAAGATCTGTAACAGACCCAAAACAGTGATGAAATATCAAAAAAGAAGTGTGGGTGGAGTAAGACTCTGGTAAGTAATTTTTGTTGTTAACAGTCGGATATTATTAACAAACATCAGTTTGAAACGCAACATGCCTTCATGTCATCACTGGTTTGTAACGAGGTTTCATTATCGATGTGCTGATACAGAAGCTCTCTCAGCTGGTTGGTGCTGCTCTCAACCTCCATCAGGGTTGACTCTCGCTTTGACACTTTCTCAGCCTTTTCCTGCTCCTAAGACACAACCGAAGATTCATCCAAAGATTCATCCATACCACCATTAAATCAAATATGAGGACCAGCAGTGCTGCAGTGCTCCTCGCCTCCTGGATGGTGCTTTTAATGAGCCTGTTGGCAGTTTCCAGGTCTTCAGGATGGCCACTCCTCAGTAGTCTAACCAACATCTAAGTTAAACACAGAATTGTTGAACAAATAAAATAGAGTGTGTTGTTTTAAAGTTACTCCGGTCTGTCACCTTGGCCTTGTCGTCTTGATCAAAAAACAGACTCTGTGGTTCTTTGAGGCGGAGGAGCCATAACAACTGTGTCTGGAAGTGTGGGATCCTTCTTCACGATGCCTAACACAAGAGAGATGAGAGGATTTTATTCTTGAAAATTTTCTTAGTTTTGGTAAACATAACATTAATTTTTAATGTGGTATTTCTCAGGTTGGCAAAATCCTGCAGAAAAAAAATCACGATTAGTGTTGTCCCTCACCTTGTTTCTTCAGCATGTTGTAGGCTTCCTGAATCTTAGGTTCCTCTTTAAGCCAGAGCGTCCAGCCGTAGAAGACCTCCGTCACTCTGTCTTTAACTTTCTGTGGACTCCACGCGCCAAAGGACTGAAATCAGTAGGTGATGATAATTAAACTATGCTGATCTGACTGAAATGCATAAAAATTACAAAACAGTTAGATTCCTTATTTAACCGAACCATAATTTAAATACCAAGATTTATAGAAAAAGAAATTATGTTAAGAAAGTATTTTTCTTTTAAGGTCTCTTTCACAACTATTTACACAACAAGGATATTTTTTCATTTTTTCTGGTCACTCACAACATTGAAAATGGACATCAGATCAACAGTCTTACTAATCAGACTCTGTTTTACTTCCAGAAAAATCATTTTCAAAATCATCAGAAATTTAAAGCAGTAGTTCTTTGAAATAAATCTGTTTTGGCAGGTCAGAACTACACAAGAATCACAAATCGGTATCGGCTCTAAAAACCAGAATCAGTTCATCCTCGAAGTTTAGGTTTTCATTTATAATTTGCTGTAGCTTTGGAATATTGTTCAGCACATTGGTTGTTTTTACTACAACAGTAAACTATCTTTATGATGAATAAAGTATGTTACACAAATCTTCATATTGAGCTTTTTTTTTTTTTTTGAAGAACTAAACTCAAATGAATTGAGTAATAAAAAAAGCTTATTTTGTAAGGACAAATTAAACATCAACTATCTACTTTTCAAAGTGAAAAAACTGTGTTAAACTTGGACCAGATAGGTTTTCAGATACGTTTATTAACTGCACTGATTTATGTTAGTGGGTCTATGACACCTGTGAGTTACCTTTGGCGTTAAGACTTTGATAAGTTCATTCAGAAAGCGAAACTTAGCTGCCTCGCTGCGGAACCGCTTTCCACAATTGTTCATACAAGCCTCCAGAACCTGGAAAGCATCAAAGAGAATATTATCGTTACCTCCAAACACGTTGGAAGTGTGGTTAACCAGCCTTAAATGTCACATGATGCGATTCACGGCACCCTTGAAAAGTTACGATTCACAGCAGAATCACGGTATCAAACGGTGTAAGTTCTCAGCAGATTTATTCCTCATTTTTCTTGCTCATGCAGTAATTTAGTGCTAATCACTAGATTGCTCTCTTCAACAGGAAATGGACTAAATCATTGGAGGTACTATGATGACCTTTGATTAAAAACAGATACTGTACATCAAAATACTGATGAAAATCATGCCATTGATATTTGTCTTGTTCAAACAATATAAAAAGATTAATTTAAAATTTGAAGTCTAATGTGTTAAAGTGAGATCTGCCAGTTGGTGAACCTGCATCATCTGTATGTATGATTATGTGAAGTTTGGTTACCGACAGTGAGAGCCTGAAGAGCTTCTTTCTCATGTGGAGACGGGATTTTATGGGGGAAGAAGACATAGAGCTACTTGTGGCCTGAAAGCACAAAATATTTAATTAAATTCATACAATCTCAGAAACACAGTACTTGCATGAAGTCCTCCAGAAATTTCTGTGCACTCTAGAAAAGCTAAAAGGAATTAATTAAAACGGTAATATAAAATATAACTGCTATGGGAGACACAGCCACTTAGACAAACCTGATGCAAAAGGGTGAAACCTGAATTAGCTAAATATCGTTAATTTGTAATGTAAAATGAATCATTACCAAGGGTTTTAGATATTTGCTTCTTTTTAACACACTTGAGTAAAAAGAACATGTCTCCCCTGAATAAAAATCTATAGTTTTCTTTGCAAAAACACTTTTACTGATGAATAAAAGTAAAGAAATACAGGGATTTCTTCAAAAATAATTATCTTTGGGCTGACTCTAAATGTCGATGCAAAAAAAAGGGTCTTTTCTTTTTAAAAATATTATGATTTTCTTTTGTTGTCTTCTAACTTCCTGTTAGTGATCATAACATACTGATTTACACAGGACTGTATGTTGCAGGCATCTCATGAACAAGCAAGCAAAGATCCTAAAACAGGTCTGCTCTGAACTGAAAACTTTTTTTAGAAAGATCTAAATGCCCTAAAACAGCAAAAAAAAAAAAAAAAAAAAAAAAAAAAAAAAAATCACAGCTGATCACAAAGACTTTCACATATTCTTCATAACGATATTTCTATTTAAATTGGAAAAAGTTTAAGGTGTTTAAATAACACCTGTGCCGAGATTAGTTTCAGACATGAGTCATTAATTACTCATCTAGATTTTACCAGCATTTTTCCTTTGAAACCTACTAAATAAAAAGGTTAAAGGAAATGCATTGTAACATGTTATTCTTTTATGGGATTTTATAATGAAGTATTTATAAGAATCGTTGGATTTAGTATCAGATAAGGTTCATTTAGTAGTTACAACTCTGGTAAAAACACCAGTACGTTTTACTAACCTACGTTTGCTGGAAACTCTTCCGAGTTACTTTAATTTTGTTTTCGTGTGACATGAAAGTAGATTATTAAATCATCGGCACAAATGATACAGCGCTCGAGCGCCTCTCCCTCAGGCACGCGCACAAGCTAAGCAACTTCCTGCTCCAGCTAAAATTATTTCT